TAATAGTGAGTGCCGTAATTAATTTCTACTTTCTACCATCAAAATTGGAATAATTTTGACCATTGAAATCACCAAACTAGTTTAGGCTGCATGTATAGTCTTGAATGACAATCATTAATTATACCTATAATTTTGATCCCTGAAATTTTTGGTTCACTTTGTTGGGTTTTGTTGCAGTATACTTCATATGAAAGGCAGAGATGACAGCAGCAATAATAGAATTTTTATTCACGTTCTATAAAAAGTTCGATTTTCTATAATATTTTATTTTGGTAAGAGCCTAAGTCTTATTTTGTCACACAATAACAAATAATAAAAGATGCTCAATGCACAGCTTTTGTAAAAAATTTTAAATTTCCAAATGATGACTTGTAAAGCTATTATTATCGTTGGGGGGCCATCTCGTGGTACACGTTTTCGACCACTTTCACTTGATGTTCCAAAACCTTTATTTCCAGTAGCGGGTTATCCTATTATTTGGCATCATTTAGAAGCTTTAACTAAAGTAGAAGGTTTAAAAGAAGTGCTGTTGATTGGTTTCTATGAAGATAATGTTTTTCAAAAATTTATTGATGATGCATCGATAGACTTTCCTGAAATTAACATTAGGTGAGAACATCTTTGGATTAATATTAACAACAATAACCTTTATTTAATAATAATAATATAAACAATAACTGTTAATAATATAATACCACCACCGCCACCATCTAAACTCATCACCTAACTTAATCTTCATCTACATCATCATAGATACCTTCGAGAATATCAATCGTTGGGAACAGCAGGAGGAATCTATCATTTTCGAGATGGAATTCAACGTGATAAACCAGAACATGTTTTTGTGTTGAATGCAGATGTTGCATGTGATTTTCCATTGGCCGAAATGATGAAATTTCATAATACACATCGAGGTTTATGTACCATACTAGGCAAAAAGGTAATATTAACTATGGAGATGATTAGGATAATGATTTAGAGATATTATTGTTATTATTATTTTATACGTATATATATATATATATATATACATATACATATTAATGTATATGTTCAATAGATAAATCGTGAAAATGCTCACAAATATGGATGCCTTGTAGCCAAACCAGATAGTCACGAAGTCTTGCATTATGTTGAGAAACCGGAAAGCTTTATTTCAGATTTGATTAGTTGTGGAATTTATTTATTTGATTGTGCTATTTTTCTTGAGATGAAAAAGGCAATGGAAAATAAATCAAATCAACTAGAGTATCCTTATTTCCTCCTATGGTATAATTATTATAATTATCATATAATTTCTAATTCCTTAATGAAAAATAAATCACAATTGTAAAGTCAAAATGTTTTTCAAGAACATGACGAGAAACTCAGATTGGAACAAGATATCATTCGTCCATTAGCAGAATCTAAAAAGTTATACGTCTATGAGACAAAAGAGTTTTGGAGACAAATAAAAACGCCAAGGTAATTTAATTAATTACATTATTTTTCACTCTTGGATAAAAATTAATTTACTCATATGTACACATACATACGTACAACACACATATATATTCATTGAAATAGTTCTGCAGTTCCAGTGAATGCGTCATTTCTTAAAAAATATTTAAAAACCAATCCAAAGCTTTTATTAAAAAACCAAGAAGGTGGACCTGAAATACATGGATGTGTATATAAACATCATACAGCAATTATAGATCCAACTGCCAAAGTAAATATAAATATAAATATAAATATACTTTGTAAATATATATTTCTTATTTTTATTATCATCTAATTTAGATTGGACCGGATGTTTCTATTGGACCTCGAGTAGTTATAGGAAAAGGAGTTCGTATTAAGAATTCGATTATTTTGGATAATGTGGAAATCAAGGATAATAGTTGTATTTTGAATAGCATCATTGGATGGGGATCTAAGATCGGCACTTGGGCACGCGTAGAAGGAACACAACAAGCCAATGACCAAATATCTATTATTCAAGATGGTATTGTAGTTCAATCAATTACTATTCTTGGTAAGTCTATGAATTTGAATGAGATGGAAAATGTGTGGGGAAATTGTATGGGAGATGTGGGGAAAGTTTATCAAAAAGCACATCTATCTATATTAATATGGAAACTTAATTTTTTAACTAATATATAGCCAAGGAAGTTACAGTTCAAGATGAAGTATTTATACGTAACTGTATTGTATTACCAAACAAAGAATTAAAATCCGATTGTCATAATTCAATCTTGATGTAAATAACAGATCATTTGAGGAGTACTAGGTAATAATATTCACACACTCACACTTTAATTGCATATATGATAAATGAGAGACATGTATAACTATTGATGGACAATGGACTCTTGAGTATCTATTAATTTTTAATAAAAATATTTTTATTTTTAGGAGTATAATAATAATCAATCAACTTTATGATTTTTGAATTGGGTTAATTAAATAGAATTTTATTCTTAATTAGTTTATTTATTTATTTTATTTTTATTTGTTATTTTATTTATTTAATTTTTATTTATTTGTTTAAATTGATAAAAATTTAATAAAAATCAATAAATGATAATAGAGGAAATAAAATCAGGTTAATTAATTAATATTTGATGTTATCTCGTGTAGTATTTTTTGATGAGGATAAATATTACCCTAAAAAAACAAACAATTAAAATGGATGTTTACAATTTGCGAAAAAAAATTTTTTCGAGAATTTCTTTGTGCGACAAAATTTTATTATTTCGGAAAATTTTAGGATCTAAAAAAGACAACTATAATTTAACTGCTAGGTGATCATCATGCTAAAACGAGTGGGTGTTGTGGACGCATCAAAGAGCTTTAAATATAAATCTTGCAATTTCACATTGGTTGAGAAATTGAGAAATGTAATAGAATCCGTATTTATTGTTAAACAGGAGCCGCTCGCGCGACATGAGGCTTATTACATCTGATTGTAGGCCGCAAGAGGTTAGAACCTTTTAATTTAATTTTGTGTAATAAAAAAAATGTAGTACAAATCATTAAAAATCACGCCCACTCATTCACTCAAACACAATGAATGATAGGGAAAAATACGATACAATAATAATTCTTTCTATACTGCTTTAAAGGATCCGGAAGGGAAAGCTCTAGAGTGGTGATGTTAATTAATTAAAAATGAAATTTTTTTTTTAAAATGGACTAATTTAAATTAAAAATTAAAACTAAAATAAACTCTCATTAATCATCAATGATTCATCATCATATAAACAAACTTGCATAAACTTAAATAGGCAGTATATTAATTAATAATTATTTATAAGTACACAATATGATAATGATGTGATAGTGTATTTATTGTATGATGATATAAATATCTAACAAAAAGTTTTATAATGTAGAATACGAACATAATAACAAACAACTCGTTTTCATTTACTCTTCTTTCTCATTTCTCTTACTAATTCTCAAGTCTAGCTTTAAAATTTCTAAAAGAGGATATTTATGACATAATAATAAGAAATCAAACGGAAAATCAATTTTAAAATAATAATAATAATAATAACAATAATAAATAGTAATAATAATAAACAAAACAAACATCATTCATTAACAGTGTCTTATTTTTTTTAAAATAATACAAATAAATTAATAATAGAACTTTCCCATTTACTTTTTTCCAATTAAATATTTCTATTTTAAAAAAAAATCATATAAGTCTCTTTTTTTTTCTTTTTTTAAAATAAATTATTTTATAATAAAACAAAATTAAAAAATGACAGCTCAAAATACTATTCTGCCTTCTACTACAACAAATATTGATGGAGAAGCAAAAACTTCTTCCATTGTCATTGCTGACACCACCAATAATAATAATAACAATAAAGACACTTTAAATGACGCTAAACAGGTATGGCATATAAATGATACATTGGACTTGAAGAAAAAAGAAATAATAAAACTTTTAGAACAAGAAAGTTCACAGGAAAGTTCACAGGAAAGTTCGGAGTCATCATCATCAACATCTATCAATTCCTCTTCCTCCACCTCTTCAACTTCTTTTACAACTATGAACAAGGCATCATCTTCGTCAAACAAAAACGAGACATTACCATCACAAACAATATTGGAACATGAAAATGATCATGATGATAAAGTTGGAAATAAAGAAAATAACCAAGATATTGAAATGACTGATTTACCTGTTGATATATCACCATCATCAACAATATTACCGCGACAGCAAACATCAACCATAACCACTTCTTCTTTATCATCATCACCACCATCATCGTTGCACACATCATCTTCCTTACCTACCGATAGCACTCTACCCGATTTACCTAAAGTTAAAACTTTACCAAGAAGAAATCGTAGTGTTTCATTCAACAAAACTGTCACTTTTATTCCTCACGTGCCACCTCCACCAGCTAAAATTCGTAAGAAAATATCAAGAGAAGCTTCTTTAAAACATAAAGATGTTATTGTTGAAATTGAAGATTTGGGTAAGGTTAGGGTAGATGGTAAGAATGGTAGGATTATAAAAATCACTCCTTTTGTTTGGCCTGGTCCTTTAAGTGGTGATAATAATAATGATATGGATATGAATAATGATCAAACAATCAGTTCACCAAGATCTTCGACTTCGTATGATGAAGAGCATGATGATGATGTGTTGGTTATTACCGCTGTACCAGTCACCGAAAAAGATAAAAAAAAATTGAGAATTGGTAAACATTTCAAACGATATTATAATAAATTAATCCCACATCATAATCATAAAGAAGAAGGAGGAGGAGAAGAAGTACAAGAACAGCAACAGCAAGTATGATTATCTTTGGTGATAACAATTATAATAAAAATCTTCAGGAGTTGAGAATTATCATTTGGTGATTAAACTTCTATTTTTAAATATCAATCACTCATAATAAACATGATCACAAAAAACAGGAGAGATCAAAATTTATAAGAAATAATATCAAGAAGAAAGAGGAAAAGATGGATTGAAATAAAAACAGATTGAAAAGTCGATTAAAAAGATTGAAGATCGATGATCGAGAATCGATGGATGGGAATATGTATAATAAGATTCTTGCCGTCCATTATTTATGTGAACAATTTTTTTATATTTATTTATTTTGCATGTATGTACATATAATTAATTGGAATTCTTCTTTAAACCAGTTAAAAATATATTAATGTAAATTAATTTCTCTTTTTATTTTATTATACATACATTATTCTTGCAATTTATTTTTTCATGACATTTTCTTTCGTTGTAAAATTTTAAAAAAATCGAAAATAAATATTTGTATTTATTGTTGTAATATTGATTTTTTTTAAACGATCGAGTTCACACAATTAAATCAATATCTCTTTTTCGTGAAGCGTAAACCAAAGGTGTGACCCTGGAGTATGGAACCCAAAAGAACAGCCTTTTTTTTTTTGTATTTTGTCACCTAAGCCATTCAGTGAAACATCAAAATTTTCTTTATTTATTAAAATTTAAATCACCCAAACCAATTAATAAAAAAAATCGTTTAGTATCAATAGATTCTGCTTCTTTTCGAAATTTTTAATCGATATGCGCACTGGGCCGATTTGGAAAATATCAGCAGAATAGTAAAGGGAAGGGCCGAAAAATACACGATTGATGTAAGGGCTACAGTGTAGATCGTTTATATATACTCGAAATTCAAAACATTTTGTCGAAAATTTTTTTTTGGGGAAATCGCGTCGCAATTTAGCCGTTTAACCGAAAAATTCATAAAAAATCATGATTGGCTGATTTTCGAAATCATTCCAAATTTGGGGATTATTATGGATGCAGTGGATAGTTTTCGGGTCCTGATTTAACCGGTTAGGCACATGAGAATTACAATAATAATGTCATGCCATTTGGCCGTTTTGCCCATTTGGCCGCTTTTGGTCATTTGGCTGGAAGAGGAATTGTTTGTTATTCAAAAATGTTAATTCAATCCGATAATGTTTATTAATTATAAATGAATAATTAATTTGTCACTTTTTATTTTTTTCTTTGTAACATTTGTTATTGTTCAATTGCATGCATGTATACTATTTAACATTAATTTTTTAGTGTTCAATGGCATTGGTAGCTAGATGTTCTTCCTTATTGGTCAATTCAATGACTTGCAAAGCGAAAAATAGTTAATAGACAAACTTTTAAAAACCACAAGGACAACAGCCAATTTTATATATTAATATATATATATATATATATATATATCAAAAGATGAATCTCAAAGATCTTTTTCATATTAGGAAATGATATCTTTGGAGGAAGTTTCATAATATTTTTTTATTTGCCAGTATATTAACGTATCATTTGACATAGTACTAGGAAAAATCTCGGTTTAGAGAATCCGTCAGTCAGTCATCGAGATCGGTTATAGAGAGATAACTGACACGATCTAATTTGATTTTAACTAAATTTTAATATGACATTTAATTACGGTCCTTATCCGATTAACCGGTCAAAAAAGTTAGGCGGTGACTGTAACAACCCTAAAAAAAACATTTTCTTCTCACAAAGAGCCCAATTACTCGATGCATACTTTTTTATCGGGTTTTTTCTATTATCGGACTAGTTTTGTAGTTTTGTTGTTTTGTTTGTGATTGACCCCAAATTTCCTTGTTCGTTATTTTATTTTCGTCCAACTAACCAATTTTCAGTCAAGAAAGGCGTCCAACTGTTATTATAAACCAAATTCGTGTTTAAAATATAAATAAAATGTGACGTGGAAATATTCCCTAACACGTATTTTCTCCTTCCCAAAGTATTCATATTAATAGATAGATCTGTTTTATCCCCAATCAACATCAAGCAATTTACCTTTGTTTATTTTGATTGTTGGATCTGGTCTTTAAGTATTGTTTTACAATAGATCAAATTAACTACATTGTCTTCAAAAAAGAAAAGCAATTAATTCATCAAGAGCAGTTGCTGCTATCAGGAAACAATAAAAGTTTATCGGATTGTATGTATATTGGACGTATTTCATATTTACAATTGTCTAGATCAAAGCGAACGGTATAAAAATTTGTTGACGCTAGGAATTCTGGCTATTCTTCATCTGAACATTAGTAATAGTAATTAAAAAATTAACCATGTGATGCTGATCTCTAATAATTATGACGTTATTATAATGAAATAATAGTAAAGTTTAAATTTAGTAGTAGTAGATTTGATTATTGCAAGTAAAATTTAAAAAATCCTTTAATTCATTAAGAAATTTTTTCAGTAATGTCATCATCTCACTTTGACCAGAATATACCTGAAGGACATATTCGTGATGGAAATACTGTTTTTTCAAAGAAAGAGCGAGCTGAAGAAGAACGTTATATCAGACTTCAAGTATAAATAAATTAATAAATAATGAATCAATGAATTCAATAATAATCTATTTTATTAGTGATATAAATCATCGTCATTGTTATCATTTTTTTTTTGTCTAGGAAATGGAAAAAATGAAACGTCTTCGTGAAGAGATTAATAAAAAAAAGCAGGAAATCAATCAATCAGATGATGTTAATAAAATCGAAGGAAACAACGAAAAGGAAAATAAATAAATAACTGTAGCGAATAAATAAAAATTACATTACAATAATAATTATTATTATAATATCTTGGTCAAAAAAATTTAACTAGTTCATTTATTCGTCGTTCATTTGTTATTATTCATTCTTCTTTATTATATTCTTCATGCTATCATTATTACTACAGCTCAAGATTGCTATAATAATAATTATTATTGTTCACTGATTATCATCAATTCAAATCTTCGTCCAATTATCATCATATCAACACTTATCGCCGTCGGTAATTATCACCAATTATAAAATTTTGATGGATTATAAATTGGTTTGTTCTCAATTAAAGGCATCCAAACTTTTTTTCTCTCATAATTAAAGCCTTTATATTTACGTTTTCGTTTAATACCTTCTTCCTCCTCTTTCAAGTTCACTTTCTTCTCTTTTATTATATACTTCATGTGAGATTTTTTAATTAACATAAAACTCATTCTACCTCTAGCTGCATAATTTGCTTTCTTACGATAATAGCCTTTACCAACCCAAGCTTGTTCTATATCAAAAAAGTAAATCATAATCATAACCAATATTTTCAATATTTTCAATTATGAATGATGGAAACATGTCTACCTATATAACAATTGTCAATGTTCATCTTTTTATATAACTGTGCATGATGTCTAGCCGTTATCAATGAATGCATTATTTTCTTTGATGCTTTTTTATGTGAAAATTCCATTTGTTTTATCGCTTCGTTCAATGGTTTTTTTGCAATTTGACGTCCCAAAAAATTTAATTTGCGTGGTGAAATACGAAAATTCATTGTTGAATATCGATGCTTTTTAAATTTTCCAATTCATATTCAAATTAATATAAAGACGACAAACACATATTATATATATCAATATATTAATATTATTATCAATGAATATCTACCTCTGTAAAGATTTTTGATCCTTTAAGATCTAGCAAATGTCCTGCTTTTTCACGATATATTGGAGATACTTCATACTTTACTCGATCAAAGTCATCTTGCTTGTCATCTTTTTTGTCATCTTTCTTGTCATCTTGCTTGTCATCTTGCTTGTCATCTTTCTTGTTAATTGATGTGACGTGAAATTGTCTTTTGGAAATTAATTTTGGAACAAAGGAACAAAAGACAGATGGTGATACTATTGATCAACATTGACAATATTAATTATACATGTAAATTTTTATATTTAAAAATTAAAAAAAAAAAAAACCAATTATAATTTCTTACCATTTGTAAATTTAAATTTTTTTATCATTTTTTTTTTCCCATCGAAAATAAATTTTTTTAAAGATAATCAGTAATGATAAGATCTACCGAAAATCTTCACATAAATAGAAGTATTGCTAACTGTGTTAGGCGTTTCATACAAAATTCCGATTGGGTAACTTGACTTTCACGTGTATGAATTTAAAATTTCATCGAATGATTTTTTTTTTAAATTTAGAGTTAAACAGCTGATTGATTGCTATTGCTTGATACATTATAAATATCCATAAAATATATTGTCATTTTTCTAAATCTGTTAAAATGTTTACAAGTAAGACATTTACCAGAACTCGCATTACTACTATTAATTCTCATATATTTAATCAAAAAAATATTACAACAAAATATCATTACTGTCAACCTTTAACAAGTCAAGTGATTAGACAGCTTCATTCTTCTCTTACAAAGTTTGACATTAATTTACAACAACAACAAAAACAACAAAATATTGATTATGGAAAAGTAAAGATAATAAAAATTAATTAAGTTATTAAAAAACGCGTTTTTTTTTTTGGTAAATAATACTTCTTATCTGTTTAATTATTAGACTTTTGATAAAATTTTAATTGCGAACCGTGGAGAAATTGCCTGTCGTGTGATCAGGACGGCTAAGAAAATGGGAGTCAAAACAGTGGCCGTTTATTCTGATGCTGATTCTCACAGTTTACATGTACAAATGGCTGATGAAGCAGTCAATATAGGCCCTCCTCCGACAAATCAAAGTTATCTAAATATTCCTAATATAATCAAAGCTATCAAAGATACCGGTGCTCAAGCTGTACATCCAGGTCTTCAATCATTCATTAATAATCTAACACTTGATAATTTATAATTAATCTTTGATTATTGATTATCTTTCGATTTTTGAATTACTTGATACATATATAATTATAATCAGGATATGGTTTCTTATCAGAAAATCATCATTTTGTAAAGTCTTTAAAAGATATCGGTATAACTTTTATAGGACCTGGTGAATCTGCCATGGCTGATTTGGGTGATAAAATACAAAGTAAAATTATTGCAAAAAAATCTGGTGTTAACACTATTCCTGGATTCAATGGAGTTATAGAAAATACAGACCATGCTTTAGAAATAGGTGATAACATAAAATTACACAACTTTATTTTTCTTTATCATCATCATCTTTCCTTTATTATTTTCACCTTAATTTAATTGGGGGTTTTTTATTTAAGCAAGATCAATTGGTTATCCTGTGATGCTTAAAGCTTCTGCTGGTGGTGGTGGTAAGGGTATGCGAATTGCTTGGTAGGTTTATTTTCAATATCTTCCAGTTAACACAATGAATGATTTTGCTGATTATACATGGTAAAAATATAGGAATGATCAAGAAGTCATTGATGGATTTAAATTAGCATCCCAGGAATCACTCTCAAGCTTTGGAGATGATCGATTATTGATAGAAAAATATATCGATAATCCACGTCATATTGAAATTCAATTACTTGCTGATAATTTTGGGAATGTCCTTTATTTACCAGAACGTGAATGCTCCATCCAAAGAAGAAATCAAAAGGTAAAATGTATATTGTATATATTATTTATCTGATTTTGTTTTTTAGTAAACCAATTAATTGAATAATAATAAATAGGTCATTGAAGAAGCACCAAGTGTTCATTTGAATCCATCTACTAGAAAAGCTATGGGTGAACAAGCAGCGCTACTTGCTAAACATGTTGGATATGTATCTGCTGGAACTGTTGAGTTTTTGGTAGATCCAGAAAGAAATTTCTATTTTCTTGAGATGAATACACGTCTACAAGTTGAACATCCTATAACCGAATACATTACAGGCCTTGATTTGGTTGAACAAATGATAAGAATTGCTGCAAATCAAAAATTATCAATGAAGCAAGAAGAAATCAACATTAACGGATGGGCAGTAGAATCACGTGTTTATGCTGAAGATCCCGAAAATTACTTACCATCTATTGGAAGGCTTAGTAAATATATTGAACCAGTTAGTCTTACCAATAAAAAAGAAGTGCGATGTGATTCTGGTATTGTGGAAGGAAGTGAAATAAGTATTTATTATGATCCATTGATATGTAAACTTTCTACTTATGGAGACACTAGACAAGAAGCTATTGATACAATGTTAGGAGCTCTAGATTCATACGTTATAAAAGGTAAATAAATGGTACAATTTATTCTAATGTCTATATTTATATTTATATATATAACTTATTTGTATTCATTTATACACATCATAATAAAAGGTGTCACACACAACATTCCATTATTACGTGAAGTGATTGCAAGTAAAAGATTTAGATCTGGAAATATTTCAACGAAATTTTTAGCAGAAGAATTTCCAGAAGGCTTTAAAGGACATGCTTTAAATCATGAATCTTTATATGAACTTGCTTCAATTGCTGCATTAATTCATGCTAAAAGAGATTATCGTAATTGGTGTTGGGGTGGTGGTAAAGAGGCACTGTTCAAAGGTGATTTGACTGGACATGCTCCAAAAAAATGGAATCTCTGGATAAAAGTTCATGCTGATGCTGAACTTGAACCTTTATATGTACAAATTGAAAAAAAAAGTAGTACAAGTTTAGAAGAACAAGAATTATTTGAGGTATAACACATGCATATGTATGTGTGTATTTATTGAAATATATATATATTATACTAATTATTTTTGTTGTCTATCAATAATAATAATGATAATAGATTACTTGTGAAGGATTTCCAAAAACAAACATCACTGCCAGATGGCAATTAGAATCACCTTTGGTAAATGCACATTTTCAACAACAAGAAAATCAAAAAGAAAAAAATATTACAGTACAATATTTGCAGCCATTACCCGTTGGACTACGTCTTCAACATGTTGGAACAAAATTCGATATCACAATTCACAATGAATTACAGCACCAATTGATTAAATACATGGCTGATAAACCAAAATTAGACACATCTAAAGTGTTATTGAGTCCCATGCCTGGCAGTGTTGTCAGTGTCTCGGTTAAAGCTGGTGACAAGGTAGATAAATTACCATCAAATATATGTACATCTATGTGTACATCATATATTATTATAATAATAATTATTCTTTATATTTATAGGTTACTGAAGGAACTGAACTTGCAGTTGTAGAAGCAATGAAAATGCAAAATATATTATATGCTGCAAATAGTGGTAAAATTAAGAATGTCAATGTCAAACCTGGGGATTCTGTAGCAGCTGATGAAATTATGATAGAATTTGAAGATGAAAATCCTGACAAAAAATAATTAAAATAGAGACAATACACTACTGTATTTATATTATTTAATAATTTGATTTTTAAGCTTGTAAATATAAATTTTCAGTTTATAGCACGCATTAATTAGGTAATGAGGTTTTTTGGTTGTATATACCTAGAAATGTCATTTTTATTTGCTAAATCTGCAATATGTGAATAAGTATTAGAATATTTTGTTGTGGAATGTTTTTGTTTATGAACTTTATTAAATCATTATATTATTAATACCTAAAGAATCTGTTTTATTTTTCTTTTGACAAATAATTTTTAAAAGAATCTTGGATTACATAATGCAACTATATGCAAAGCTACCCGAGTAAATATGTAAATTAATAGAAAAATCCACATCATTATCTATCAATATTTTTTAATTTGTTGAATACAAGTAGAGCTCTCATATGATGTGTTTTAGATTGTGTATTTTTAATTAATTTGTCTAGTTTAGCCCCATCCTTTGGATCACAAGATCGACACAATTTCCAATAGTATTGTATCTATTTTGACATTCTCGTATAAATTAAAACCGAATGATCATTAATTTCATTATTACGTACTAAGAGAGGTGATTTTTTGTCTTGTTGGTTTTTTCATCTTTTTGACACAACAAAAGTACTTACGAACGTGTTATTAAATAATATCTGACAAATTTTTGTTTTTTCGTTGACCAAAGGTAGCTTCTCACCAAGAGACATTTTGGCAATTTGACGAATTGTTGTTGAAAGTAAAAGTTATTGTATATATTAGAAAAAAACCAAAACAACGTCATTTAAAATGTGATTTATTTAATATTTGATTAAAAAATTACTTTTTTCATTATTATCTATCATCTTCGATAAGAATTGATCGTTTCATTATCAATATCATCATCACTATCATTATTGGTCGATCCACTTATTATTTTTGTAAAAAATGGAGTCGTGGCGCAGAAAGTTATTTGACTTCTATCATTTTAGCCAAATCGGGTTTAGTTAAAAGTTTTATTTTCATGATTTTTATGTTAATTATAAAGTTACCCCAATACCAGTCGCAAGTAAGGTTTCTGGCCGAAACTGCTTCTATTAGTAGCCAAAATTGCCCAAATACTTTGGGCAAAAATTATTTTTTTATAAGCCCAAACTACT